TCCCCACTTTTTTTGTCCGCGATATAAAAAACACATGCGGTTAGGATACCTGTGTCGAATTAATTAAAGTTTATTATGTCAAAGTTTCAAAACATCAATCCGGTCTGCATGTCTGACTGCTCGCAGAACGGTTCTAGAGGCAGTGTCAGCGCGCGCGGAACGGTCCTCAGATGTGTCCACTTTCAAGCGCGGAACGGTCCTACTGCGCCAACAGACTCCTCTCCCTCTCCCCTCCCCCTGTCCGCTGGTCTATGTCAGACACCAGTACACCACTGACTTCCCCTACCCTCCCCTGACCTCAGGTGCCAGCTGAGACGCTGGTCGGCCTACAGAACCTGCTCGTTCACCTGCGGGACGTCTCGGCAGAGAACGCGCACCTCTACCAGTACCGACTCTGGGACGCTAAGAGGGTCAAGGTGGAGACCGCCCAGAACAGGGTATGTAACACAGACCGTAACACAAACCGTAACGCAGGTCGTTACACAGGGCGTAAAATAGATTGAACACAGACCGTAACATAGATCGAACACAGACCGTAACACTGGCTGCGTACGTGCGGGCACTCGGCCGGCCGGAACTGGGCTGGACCCATTGGGCAATGAACAGGTGCTTTCTGTGACAGCGTCACCGCTGCAGGTCAGTCAGGGACACACAGACACTGCACCCGGCGCCCTTGTGCATGGTACAGGTCTCGCGGGTTTTAGCGGTAGGTTTTGCACCTAGAAAATTTAGTGCACTTCAGGCTATATCTTCGTCGTCTTAAGCTTTTAAGTGTTGAAGATGCGATCGACTTGTTGGGTAACAAGCCGGCCATGATCGTGTGAAATGGCTTCATCGTAGATCGATTAGTTTCTGAGATATAACCGGAAATGTAAAAGTGCAAAACCTACCGCGTAATCTCGCGAGACCTGTACTTGAGCCCTGAGCGCGCCCATGTGTCGCCTCCAGGGCGTGTCGCCGGACGGTTCTGTGTGTCGGACTGAAGCCTTAACCTGCCTGAGTGTTATGCTATGACTCCCCAGGGCGTGTCGCCGGATGGGGCGGCCGGCTACCGGGACGGGCTGCGGCGGGCCACCAACGGCTACCCGCTCTCCGCCGAGGAGGTACAGAAGGTCGTCAGCCGGGTAAACCAGCTCTCCAGCTAGCGGCGCAGAGGTCAGTCACCGCACCGGGCGTATTGCACGGGGACCCTAACAGACGCCTCACTCATTTCCCTCATCTCAGTTGTTCTTTCATTTTTTTAAAATAAATAATGGAGATAGACCACAGCATTTTCGGTGCATTTATTAGGGTCATGTTACTCCAACGGGGTTGCGTTGTCGGCACAGTCCTGTCTGGTCTGTGTGCTGCGGCGATGCTCTGCTATCCGGTGACCCAATGCCACTGTCCGCTGACCGAGTGTCGGCTCTCTGCTGACCGTGTAACGTCTGTCCGTCAGGGTGGTGGCTGTGAACGCCTGTCTGACGGCGCCGGAGGCCAGCGCCGGCCGGCTGCTGTCACTGCTGGACCAGCTGCGGCCGCCGGACGCCGGAGCGCTGCCCGACTGGGGTCTACATCCTGGTACGTTACTGGGAGCGGCACGGTGTGTGTTGGGTGCTTCTGACGGTCAGTTGTAGTAACTGTTAGTTCCTCTACTGGCCACCAGGTGAAAAGCGTAATAGCTGTACAGCAATGTAGAGTTGCTTCAGCTTTGGCGTAAACTTTCTCCTCTTCCGCTCACCATTCACCACCAGAGTCAGCAGCGTCTCGGCTGGCGGTCCAGTCAGTCAGGGCGAGTGTCTTCACTCGCCACAGCGGGCCGGACCCATTACAGGGCAGCAGAGTTATCAGTTACCAAGCCTTGGCCTATAAAGAAAACCAAGAAATAGTAGCAATTGCATATATGTAATGATTCTACTCTATTACGATTGAGCTAGCGAAGCGTATTCCTGTAACGTTTTTAATAGGCTTGTAAGTCAGCAACCGCTGGGCTGATTGACCTGCGTTACTCTTTGTTGCGTAATCCTATCCCTTCCATCTCGTTATTGACTACAACTGATGTATCTTGGTGAGTTATTGACTACAACTGATGTATCATGGTGAGCGTCGTGACACGTGCGACGTGAAGGGCCAAGAGTGTTCGTTATTCTGCTGCAGTAGCGATTTTGGGTTGCTCATATATCTTGAACCCTGAACTGCCACGCCGATTGCGCTCAAATTTGGTACACTGTTTGTGACTGGTTGATAGGGATATGTTTTTTTTATAGCGCGCATGTGTTTTTATAGCGCGGAGAAAAAGTAGGGATTGTTAGGGTTAAGCAGGGAGTCACCGATGTTAGATCCCTCTCTGGGTCCTTTCATAGGAGGTCACGGTCCTGACCCGAGATAGCTGAGCTGTGTCGCAGCCCTGACCTCAGACAGCTGAGCTGTGCACGCCGTCGGCTCGGCCGTCAGTCGCCACAGCCGCTGACGCCAGTGTCCAAACAGCTCCAAACAATATCCGGCCCTGTATAGCAGGATAAGCCATCAGAGGCGGGAGTGATCACCGGAACGGGCTGCATGGTACAGGACGGGCTGGGAACACGTCAACTCCAGCATGACGTGTTCCCAGTGTACCTGCATGTAGTTTCTTTATTCCTCAGCAGTTGTCATCCCCTTGGCGTTAGTGTTTCGCGTCCCTCCATTGATCACTCCCGCCTCTGATGGCTTATCCTGCTATACAGGGCCGGATATTGTTTGGAGCTGTTTGGACACTGGCGTCGGCGGCTGTGGCGACTGACGGCCGAGCCGACGGCGTGCACAGCTCAGCTGTCTGAGGTCAGGGCTGCGACACAGCTCAGCTATCTCGGGTCAGGACCGTGACCTATGAAAGGACCCAGAGAGGGATCTAACATCGGTGTCTCCCTGCTTAACCCTAACAATCCCCACTTTTTTGTCCGCGGACCGCGATATAAAAAACACATGCGGTTAGGCTACCTGTGTCGAATTAATTAAAGTTTATTATGTCAAAGTTTCAAAATATCAATCCGGTCTGCATGTCTGACTGCTCGCAGAACGGTTCTAGAGGCAGTGTCAGCGCGCGCGGAACGGTCCTCAGATGTGTCCACTTTCAAGCGCGGAACGGTCCTACTGCGCCACCAGACTCCTCTCCCTCTCCCCTCCCCCCTGTCCGCTGGTCTATGTCAGACACCAGTACACCACTGACCTCCCCTACCCTCCCCTGACCTTCTCAGGTGCCAGCTGAGACGCTGGTCGGCCTACAGAACCTGCTCGTTCACCTGCGGGACGTCTCGGCAGAGAACGCGCACCTCTACCAGTACCGACTCTGGGACGCTAAGAGGGTCAAGGTGGAGACCGCCCAGAAGGGTATGTAACACAGACCGTAACACAAACCGTAACGCAGGTCGTTACACAGGGCGTAAAATAGATTGAACACAGACCGTAACATATATTTGTACAAACCAACGTTGCAGGCACTCGGCGCCAGGAATGTTTATTGATACACAATGAACAGAACGCAATCGCATAGAGAGAAAACCATGTGGAGTCGAGACATCAGACCAAGATCAGAATTACTGAAGAAGATCGTCCGTGAACGACCCTGGCACCTGACTGTGAACATAGTGGTTCAAAAACACCGATCTCGTCTTCCATCGGCCGAGCTGCTGAACTGTGTCGGCGGCGACACCAAGTCTGATCGCCTCCGTCGCCCCCGTCGGACGAAAATCTTTCGGCCGGTGTCCAGGCTGAAGGCCGAAGGACTCAGCGGCCTTAATCGATGTCTCCAAAATTTGGGCGACGGAGCTGGCAGAGATGGCCGCATACGGGCGGTGCAGCCCGATGAACAGCGGTTTCGTGACCGGGCACCGCCACCGGTCAGTGCTCGCTATGTACGAGCGCAGAGCGTCTACAGGGTCAGTGAATACATCCGCTCCGGGCGGCAGTGTAACAACAAAACCAGTTCTGTGTAAATCGTTCTTAACCCTCGCCCTGGCAGGGCATTTTTCATAACACGGCCTGGCAAGGGGGGGGGGTCGATGCGACCCCCCCTCGCGATTGGCTCCTATGGCACCTAGAAACACCAAATTTGGTAGGTAGGTGGGCCCCCTGGAGTTCTCGCCCCTGTGAAAATTTGGTTGCTCTAGGTCAATATTTAGGGGGGTTTTGGGGGGTATAAATGTAAAAATTTCGCTAAAAACAGGTCAAAGGTTTTTCGCTTATAACTTTTGATCTAATTAAGATAGAGCAAAAAGAAAAGCACCAGTGAACTCAGCACGTCAAGGCACGTCGAATGATATACTTTTTAGCTTGCTTAAGTGTACTTAAAGTTTTTTCTAAATTTTTAAGTAAACTTTAATTTATCAGTTAAGTTCAAGTTAACCAAATTGCATCATATCGCATATCATTCGATTCGGCTGATCACCAGGAACACAATGACACCATTTTTTAAGCTCTAGCGTCATTATGTGCCAAGTTATTGGCAAAAACGTCATTTGACCTCAGTTGACCTCATTTGACCTGACCCATGGATAAGTACACCAAACAAAGAAGCATCAAGTGACCTGCTGTTAAGTACTGTGGTTTCAAAGCACAAAAGTGATAGAACGAAGCGGATATCTCCAGTATTTTCCGAATTTAGTATTTTCCCATAGGCTTAACATTACGACGTAATGACCTCTAACTGACCTCAGGTCAGTGACCTCAAAAAACCCGAACTATATGTTATACAACTCGGTGAACTTAGCACATCCTGAAAGTTTGAAGGAAATCAGTGCAAAACTGTGAGTTGGACAGGTGCAAAAAGAAAATTGAAATTTGACCATGACCTTGTACCGGTTTTTCTGACCTGGTGACCTGACCCAAGGTCACCCGGACCTGAAATTTTCAGGTCATATGTAAAAAGGTTGCCCCATAGGCTGTGCCAAATTTGGCGGTGCTGCGCGCCGCCGTTTTTACGCTATCTTCGAAAAACCTTAGGGGGGTCGCATCGACCCCCCCCCCTGCCAGGGCGAGGGTTAATCCCTAAAAACGAAACTTTGACCGAGCCGTCCGAACAAAAGGTAATCTGGTCAGTAGACATCACGAAACGCGAGGACACTCCGCGGAATCCGCGTGAAAAGTGCGCGCCTGAGGGGCGATATCAGAGGGTCGAAGCATCAGAGCGATAGCCAGCAACGTAATTGTTTTCATCCTTAACTGTTTAACAGACAAAGCATTGTTCGCTGGCCACGCCCGGAACATGCGTGTGAACGCCGAGACATCCATCACACGAGAGCGCTGCATGGGCAGACGAGTGCGACTTTTCACGATAGCATTTGACAAACGCACAATGAATGGATCAGAGGTCAGGACAGGCAGGTTACACGCCTCGTAAACGGAAGACAAAGCCGCGGACAAACATCGTAACATGGACTGAGGACGGTCGGAAGCACGACTTTGCTGCATCAAAAAATCGGCCAGAAGGGCGGAATCCGTAGGCGGAAAAGGCACACCGCGAGACGCGCAGAAATCGGAACACTCCCGAATATAGCGATCGTATGTTGCGTGTGTCGACTCTGCCAGGCAGAGAGTCAGCTGATCGCTGGCAGCCGGTGACCAACCGCGCTCGACTAGCTGAGAGCGCCAGATATCCGCCAGGCACAGAGGGTCCAGGCGGTGTTCCGGTGCGGCTCGATCACCTGCAGCGGCAGCACCGGCATACACGTACGCTTCACCGGCGGCAGGCGGATGGGAGGTGCGACACACAGCCGCCTCAGCCTGGTCATCCACGGCTGCCCTGGCCAGAGCGGGGCGATGAGAGTCGCCTCCGCCCGCTGCGCCTCTACAAGATCCAGCACGCGCGGAATGAGCCGGAATGGCGGATTGACGAAGTTCATGTGTTGGCCCCAGTCGGATTGGCCGAGGGCATCCACGCCAACCGATCCCGGGTCGTCGAAGCGGCTGTTGTAGACCGGTAGGAGCGCCGTCGTAAACGACGCGAACCGATCTATGGAGTGCGGTCCGAACATGCGCTCCAGTTGCCGAAACACCGCGGGGTGTAAGCACCACTCGTGCCGCAGCGGCTGCCGGGACAGGGCATCGGATTCCACGTTACAAATCCCGCTGATGTGATGAGCTGCAAGCATCACATTGTGCTGCAATGCAAACGACCAAATTGCCTGAGCTATGGCATCAAGACGTGGATCAGACGAGCCAAACTTGTTAATTAACGCTACGGCGGTAACATTGTCGGATAAAATCTCTACTTTGTTGCCTGCAAGTGACGACTGAAAGGAGAGAAGTGCAAGATATACAGCAAAAAGCTCACGGAAGTTGGACGACTCGCTGCTCACCGTGGGACACCAGAAGCCCGAGGCGGTACGACCGGCTGGTGGACTCAGCACAGCGCCCCAGCCGGACTCCGAGGCGTCCGTCAGCAGTTGTAAGTCGAACTGCGCGGGTGGCAGCAGGAGCCTCCCGTTCCAGCTGTCGAGGGACCGAACCCACCAGGTCAGATCCTCCACTGCTCCTGCCGACCACTCCAGCGAGGCCTCCCACGAGTGCCTAGAGTTGAGAAGTCGGTAAACGTTTCGAAGTTTGAGCTTGCACGGGAAGACGGCGGCAAGCATGCTAATGCAACGGCCTGCAAAGCGTGCCAGAAGCCGCGCTGAAATGCGTGAGCGTTTGAGGGCGCGTGTTATATCCTGTTTCAACTTGGATACCTTGGATTTCGGCACGGTAATGACGGGAGGTCCGTCCGGTCCAGCACAGCGGACGACAAAGCCAAGGTACGTAACAACATCTGAAGGACGAAGAACAGATTTTTCGTGATTTACGGTAAGACCAAGTTGAGACAGGGTGTCGAGAAGAATTTGAAGCTTGGGTAAAATGTCAGACTGATATCCAGTGAGAAGAAAGTCATCGACAAACGCCATGAGAGACATTTGATGAACGCCACGCAAGTACTCAATGATGACGCGGATGCATTTATGAAAGTAGTATGGCGATCCCGACCATCCAAAGGGAAGTCTGCACCAGACGTACCAGCGTCCCTCGAACTGGAACCCCAGGTAAGTGCGAAAATCGGGGTGGATAGAGAAGTGGTAAAAACCATCACGCAGGTCGAGGGTAACCGCACAATCATGAGTGCCCATGATTTGTGGGAGGACAGAGACATCCTCTGACGAGAAGTGAGGTATGACACAATGTTCATTGACGTAGCGCAGATCACAGATAAGGCGAAAGTTGCCACTCTTTTTTGGCACGACTTTCAACGGCGACACACATCGCGGCATTTCACTTACACATTCCACAACACCGTTTGACAGCAACTTGTGAAGTTCAGAACGAATGAAACTGTTTTCGTTACCTTTAAAGGGTGGATTATTGAACACCGAGGGTTCCGGCACACGAGCGAAGGGAATGGTAATGCCATGTGTCACCCAGTCAATCACCACATCAGAAGCTCCAATGCGCTCCCAAAAGGCTGGACACAGCGGCATCACTCACGTCTGTGGTCACGTTACCTGTTACGTGCACGTCCGTCTTGTCACTCTGAATCACTCCGGCACGTCCCTCGCGCCGCCCGCGCGCCGCGGCAGGGCCAGGTCACGTGACCCGGCTGGGTCAGAGCGGTCACGGGCGCCAGTCCAGTCAGCTGGCAGCGTGCCAGGGCCGAACCGGCGAGACCGTCCAAAGCCGAAGCCGCCGCCGCCGCCGTCCCGCCCGAAGCCGAACGGCTGGCGTGGCCCCCGGCCGCGGGGCGGCACCGCCGTACTGACCTGCCGAGATGAGCGGGCACCGGCGATGGAAACTGCCCGTTGGAGATTTTCCAAGGCACTCGGTGGGAAGGCGGCTGGGTTTTGCTGCAGGGTGGTGAACAGCTTGGAAGTGCCCTCGTCAAACTGACTGCTCACGAGAAGGTTCGTGTACTCCTCTTGGAGGAAACGGAGGTGGGCAAGTGCCACCGTTGTGACGCTCGAAAGAGAAGCCTCGGTAACTTCAGCTGCCAAGAGCTTGAGGATGGTTTCTTGGAATCTCGCCGATTTCTGGATGAGGGTAAACCTCGGGAGATCAGCTCGACCGATGCCAGCACGGCTGTCTCCGAACACCAAATCAGCTGGTAGCTTGATCTTGGCGACACTCTCTTTTATAGCGCGAAACTCACTCTGTAGCTCACTGTAAGAGCTGAAGGCAGCGCCCGGCGCTGGCAACACTTGTTCTGGCACGACTTGCCGACGACCGGCGCTGTCGTTTTCGCATGCAGCTGACGCGGCGGAATGCCCAAGTGCGGGTCTGTCACTCGCTAACCGTGCCACGATCTCTTCTAAGCGATCGAACCTGGCTGACAGGTCTGCCACACTGTCGCCACGGTCACTCTTGTCATCCGCCATACGAACAGGCGGGGTTGGCAGTCGCCTAAAATACCGGCTACTACCCACAGCCACACCCCAGCACAGCGGAGCGCGCGCACCGATCGGAGAGCGGGACCGAACTGCCGGCCCGCGAGCGGTCAAGGCCGCTCGCGGGACTAGCGCCCCTGGCGACCGAGTGCCGCAACTACGATCGAACACAGACAGTAACACTGGCTGCGTACGTGCGGGCACTCGGCCGGCCGGAACTGGGCTGGACCCATTGGGCAATGAACAGGTGCTTTCTGTGACAGCGTCACCGCTGCAGGTCAGTCAGGGACACACAGACACTGCACCCGGCGCCCTTGTGCATGGTACAGGTCTCGCGGGTTTTAGCGGTAGGTTTTGCACCTAGAAAATTTAGTGTACTTCAGGCTATATCTTCGTCGTCTTAAGCTTATAAGTGTTGAAGATGCGATCGACTTGTTGGGTAACAAGCCGGCCATGATCGTGTAAAATGGCTTCATCGTAGATCGATTAGTTTCTGAGATATAACCGGAAATGTACAAGTGCAAAACCTACCGCTTAATCTCGCGAGACCTGTACTTGAGCCCTGAGCGCGCCCATGTGTCGCCTCCAGGGCGTGTCGCCGGACGGTTCTGTATGTCGGACTGAAACCTGAACCTGCCTGAGTGTTATGCTATGACTCCCCAGGGCGTGTCGCCGGATGGGGCGGCCGGCTACCGGGACGGGCTGCGGCGGGCCACCAACGGCCACCCGCTCTCCGCCGAGGAGGTACAGAAGGTCGTCAGCCGGGTAAACCAGCTCTCCAGCTAGCGGCGCAGAGGTCAGTCACCGCACCGGGCGTATTGCACGGGGACCCTAACAGACGCCTCACTCCTTTCCCTCATCTCAGTTGTTCTTTCATTTTTTTTTTTTTATTAATAATGGAGATAGACCAGAGCATTTTCGGTGCATTTATTAGGGTCATGTTACTCCAACGGGGTTGCGTTGTCGGCGCAGTCCTGTCTGGTCTGTGTGCTGCGGCGATGCTCTGCTATCCGGGGACCCAATGCCACTGTCTGCTGACCGGGTGTCGGCTCTCTGCTGACCGTGTAACGTCTGTCCGTCAGGGTGGTGGCCGTGAACGCCTGTCTGACGGCGCCGGAGGCCAGCGCCGGCCGGCTGCTGTCACTGCTGGACCAGCTGCGGCCGCCGGACGCCGGAGCGCTGCCCGACTGGGGTCTACATCCTAGTACGTTACTGGGAGCGGCACGGTGTGTGTTGGGTGCTTCTGACGGTCAGTTGTAGTAACTGTTAGTTCCTCTACTGGCCACCAGGTGAAAAGCGTAATAGCTGTACAGCAATGTAGAGTTGCTTCAGCTTTGGCGTAAACTTTCTCCTCTTCCGCTCACCATTCACCACCAGAGTCAGCAGCGTCTCGGCTGGCGGTCCAGTCAGTCAGGGCGAGTGTCTTCACTCGCCACAGGCGGGCCGGACCCATTACAGGACAGCAGAGTTATCAGTTACCAAGCCTTGGCCTATAAAGAAAACCAAGAAATAGTAGCAATTGCATATATGTAATGATTCTACTCTATTACGATTGAGCTAGCGAAGCGTATTCCTGTGACGTTTTTAATAGGCTTGTAAGTCAGCAACCGCTGGGCTGATTGACCTGCGTTACTCTTTGTTGCGTAATCCTATCCCTTCCATCTCGTTATTGACTACAACTGATGTATCTTGGTGAGTTATTGACTACAACTGATTTATCATGGTGAGCGTCGTGACACGTGCGACGTGAAGGGCCAAGAGTGTTCGTTATTCTGCTGCAGTAGCGATTTTGGGTTGGTCATATATCTTGAACCCTGAACTGCCACGCCGATTGCGCTCAAATTTGGTACACTGTTTGGGACTGGTTAATAGGGATGTGTTTTTTTTATAGCGCGCATGTGTTTTTTTATAGCGCGGAGAAAAAGTAGGGATTGTTAGGGTTAAGCAGGGAGTCACCGATGTTAGATCCCTCTCTGGGTCCTTTCATAGGAGGTCACGGTCCTGACCCGAGATAGCTGAGCTGTGTCGCAGCCCTGACCTCAGACAGCTGAGCTGTGCACGCCGTCGGCTCGGCCGTCAGTCGCCACAGCCGCTGACGCCAGTGTCCAAACAGCTCCAAACAATATCCGGCCCTGTATAGCAGGATAAGCCATCAGAGGCGGGAGTGATCACCGGGACGGGCTGCGGCGGGCCACCAACGGCCACCCGCTCTCCGCCGAGGAGGTACAGAAGGTCGTCAGCCGGGTGAACCAGCTCTCCAGCTAGCGGCGCAGAGGTCAGTCACCGCACCGGGCGTATTGCACGGGGACCCTAACTGACGCATCACTCCTTTCCCTCATCTCAGCTGTTCTTTCATTTTTTTATAAATAATGGAGACAGACCAGAGCATTTTCGATGCATTTATTAGGGTCATGTTACTCCAACGGGGTTGCGTTGTCGGCACAGTCCTGTCTGGTCTGTGTGCTGCGGCGGTGCTCTGCTATCCGGTGACCCAATGCCACTGTCCGCCCACCGAATGTCGGCTCTCTGCTGACCGTGTAACGTCTGTCCGTCAGGGTGGTGGCCGTGAACGCCTGTCTGACGGCGCCGGAGGTCAGCGCCGGCCGGCTGCTGTCACTGCTGGACCAGCTGCGGCCGCCGGACGCCGGAGCGCTGCCCGACTGGGGTCTACATCCTGGTACGTTACTGGGAGCGGCACGGTGTGTGTTGGGTGCTTCTGACGGTCAGTTGTAGTAACTGTTAGTTCCTCTACTGGCCACCAGGTGAAAAGCGTAATAGCTGTACAGCAATGTAGAGTTGCTTCAGCTTTGGCGTAAACTTTCTCCTCTTCCGCTCACCATTCACCACCAGAGTCAGCAGCGTCTCGGCTGGCGGTCCAGTCGGTCAGGGCGAGTGTCTTCACTCGCCACAGCGGGCCGGACCCATTACAGGGCAGCAGAGTTATCAGTTACTGTGCGGGTTGTGCCGGCTGCTGCCCGTTGCAGCCGGCGCAGCCAATAGGGCTTGAGCGGCCGCCCCGCCCCGGTCCGGGCAGGGCCGGGCGGGCAGTCTCCGGCGAGCGGCCGTCGAGTGCTCACCGAGTGGAATGTGACGTTGCCGTAACCCAGTCTCTGTGGTAATACACCCTGTCAACCTTCAAGACTCGAACATGGCGCAGCCGACAGGATTATCAGCGGAGGAGATAGCGGCTCTGTCGGAAGAGAACATCTCACTTCGAGAGCAGCTGGAGCACATACAGCAGCAGACCGCCACCACCGCCGCCGCCGCCGCCCCGCCCCGCCCCTGCTCGCCCCGCCCGCCGGCACGGCCGCGCTGCCGCCGCCGCTCGCACCGCCGCGGGCCGGGTCCGGGTGCGCTGACCGCCCCTCGCCTCCGGGCAGGCTGGAGGTCGGCGTGGACCGCGGGGTCGATGCATGGCTGGCATGGAAGCAGCGATGGGACGATTTCGTCATGCTGACGGGCCTCGATACTGCTACCGAGGCTTTCCAGATGGCGAGGCTGCGGTCCTGCCTCGGTGACGACACGCTTCGTATCGTGCGAAACCTCGACCTACCAGAGCGCGAACGGTCGGGACGGTGCTGGTCGATGACGGAGCGTTTCTCGGGGCAGCGACGGTAGGTCCCTCTGGCACGGCTGGCAGCGACGGACGACGTTTTCAATGTCGTTATCGACACCGGGCCAGTAGACGATTTGACGAGTGCGCTGTTTCGTCTTTTCTTTGCCCATGTGACTGCCGTGAAGGTGATGAAGTATCTCCTTCCGAAGTGCAGCAGGGATGATGAGACGACGGCCGTACACAATTAGGCCATCATCCACAGAGAGATACTCATGGACGGGCCAGTACGGTCTCAGCTCCACTGGGAGGTCAGCCTTACGGCTGGGGAAGCCGTCGAGGACCGTTTGACGCAGCAGTTGATATACGCCGTCCTGATCAGCAGCTGCGCGGACTTTGTCCACTTGTAGATCGTCGGCGGCGACTGCTTGGATCTGGGCGATGCTGGAGGTGAAGTCCTCCTCCGGGTTCAGCCTGTCCACCTCATCCTCCGCCGTCGGGGCGGTGACTGGGCTGCGGGACAGGGCGTCAGCGGCGAGGTGCTGCGTGCCCTTCACCCAGTGAGCGGTGAACGGACCGAGCTCAGCCAGCTTCAGCTTCAGCCGCTGAAGACGAGGGTTCTCCAGCTCATCCAGCATCTTGGAGTTGAGGATGGGCACCAGCGGGCGGTGGTCCACAAATAGGTCGAATTGTGGCAGCCCTGCCAGAAACAGGCGGCATTTGGCGAATGCCCAGGCGACGGCGGCGAGCTCCAGCTCGATAGCGGCGTATCGAGATTCAGTGTCAGTGACTAAGCGGGAGCCCGCCTGCACCAGCCGCCAGGTGTCGTCCTGTTGCTTCTGTTCCAGCAGGAACCCGAAGCCGTGTAGGCGGCTCGCGTCTGTTGAGAGGCGAGTCGGCAGGCTGGGGTCGTAGAAGGCGAGGGTAGCCGTTGACGAGAGGAGCTCCCTTGCCTTTAGAAACGCCTCTTGGTGGGTGGCGTCCCAGCAGAAGTCGCGCTTGGCGCTGAGCAGCCCTCTCAGCGGCTGCATGTGTCGGGAGACGCTTTCTGAGAACGGTGCGATCTGGTTGACCAGCCCGAAGAAGCCGCGGAGGCTGCTGATCTCCTGCGGAGCGGGGAAGCTCCGGATGGCGTCGGCGAGCGCCGGGTCGGGGCGGTAGCCGGTCCGCGTGACGACGAACCCGGCGAACTTCACAGACGGCTGCATGAACTGAACCTTGGCGCGGTTTAGTGAGACTCTGCTCGCGGCACCGCTGCAGGAAGAGTCGCACACGCTGCACGAACTCTTCGCGAGTCCGGCCGTAGATGATGACGTCATCCACGAGGCGCTTCATGCCAGGTAGACCGTGGAGGCACTGGTCCATGCGGCGGTTGTAGTGCTCGCTGATTGAAGAGATGTCATACGGAGCACGCTTGTACATGTATCTGCCAAACGGGGTGATAAATGTAGTTAGCGGCTGGCTCTACGGCTTCAGCGGGCACTGGTGGTAGCCCTTCAGAGCGTCAAAGACGGCGAAGAAGCGTGCTTCCTCTGACGCGATGGAGGTGACGCATTCAAGCGGTGTGGACGACTGATACAACTCTCTCTGGACAGAGTTATTCAGCTGCGACAGGTCCACGCAGAGACGCACGCCGGCGCCGTTTTTCTTTTCGCTGACTACGATCGGCGCGCACCAGGAAGTGGGCTCAGTCACCGGCGTGATTATGTCGTCCGCCTCCAGCTTCTGCACCTCCTTGAGTAGGGGTTCTTGCAGAGCGAACGGCACCCGGCGGGGTGCTGAGATGGCCAGCGGGGTGGCATCTGGGCGGAGACGAATTTCGAACTCTTCTCCAGGCATCACTTTAATGACACTGTAGCAAGGCTACATCTTGGGACGTCTTAACATTTTCAGATCGGGACCCAGCCGCCCGCCGTACTCCCCTCCCCATACTCAGCAGCAGCAGTCATCATACCGTGGCGCACTGGTCACATGCCTTCAATCCCCGCCCCTCATCCCCACCAGTGTCAGCGCCGTCAGGACAGAGAGCCGGCCGGCTGGCCGCCGCCGCCGCAGCGTCAGCATTCTCATCTCAAACAATTGACTGTCTTCAACGACCCCGCACGTTGGAGCGACGGGGGCACATCACAAGCCCCGACTGAGCCCTCAGCCCACTGGAGCGTAGTGGCTACAGCCCGTCGGCACCTGCCTGCCCTCACTGCGACTCAGCCACAGCTGAGCCAGCACCGTCGGGACCGAGCACCGGCCGCCGTCGCCGCAGAGTCAGCAGTCCCATCCGAGTCGGGTGACTCTCCAACGACCCAGGGGCGGAGCCGCGAGGGTACGTCACCAACCCCTCCCCGAAGAGCCCCAAATGGTCACCAGGGGACAGCACAGGACCGAAGTCGCAAAATCCATCAGCAATGGAAGGGGACGTTGAAAACACTCAAGTAAAAGGTTACAACAAACACTGGATGTCAAGTCGTAGCTAATGTACAAGAGAACTACAAGAAACCAGTAAAATTTCAAGACAAAAATTGCATCCCAGACGGTACCCTGGAAAATGGACCAATCAGAGAAGAGTTGGCAATGACGCATCAGAGCGGCAGAGGAGCGCTCGCCGCCGGAGGCTGACAGACAGATCCCCGGGGGACTCCGGCCGAGTGACACACGCCCGATCCCACCATGTAACTTCCCTGAAATTATCCTGGCGGCTGGGTGGGGTAAATTAAACGGGGTTGAAGAAATTTATATTATGAATTAACAACGTAACGAATACAGTTAAATTTCAATACCGTGCAGGCTGGACGCAGGTTACCAAAGCTTATTTAGGAATATTGTGTGTGGATTTTACCTGATTGGTTATTATTCGGAAAATGCGTTGTAACTTGGGAAATGATTTAATCTATGGAAGAAGCTGCGGAAAAGGCAGGACTTTACGTAGGAATCAGGACCTTAGTGGGTTGGCGAGAAAACTGGCGCAGACAGCGTAATATTTTGTTTCAGTGAGTGAATTCGCTTAGTTTCCAAAACGTGTAATAAGATTAGATCTGTTTAGCTTTGTTGGTTAGGAAATCTGAATATGATTAAATGTTAGGTAACCATTACCAAACCAGAGTATGAAATCAGTTGTAAAGGAAAATGCTCACTATTGACTTATCGTCGCTGGCGGAGAGGCGTACCATTTCTTTACTGTTTTATTGTTAACGCTTGCTCGCTTTGCTTCGCTTCACAAATATATCAATCTGTTATTTTCATAAAGAGTCTTGAGGGAAATTTCGGGAAAGGGTAGGAAGTTATCAGTACGAAATGAAGGGACGGAAAGAGAGGGAGAACACGAGGGTAAATCGGGACGATCGGGAAAAGGGAGAATTATGGGCGGCATCAGAGAAAGACGGTAGCTGCGAACACTGACTCATCCGCGCACTGGTCGCCGCAGGGCTGGGAAATCTCTCATACTTTCATACCCCAGTAGGTAGCAGATATCGCTTTGTTGCTCCATCAATTGTAGCAAAATCAGCATTTCTCTCTTCCGTACATCATACAGAAAAGTACAATAAAAACATGAAAATTCGCACATTTTTAGAATAGAGGTTCCACCGTTCAGTGATCTCGTCGGCGAATAAGAACAAAACATCTGTAAAACCAACACAAGTTCAAAACTTCAGCTTGAAGTGCTCCATTTTATGAAGAATCTGGCAGCTCTTTGTAGCAGTTTCCATTATAGCCATCACTAATTCTTCATACTCTGAGTCGTGTAGCTAAAGGTATCTGCTACGCCTTTTTATGCGCTATCTTTCTTATAAATATTGCAAAAAGGACTTTAATAATTTTTGAAATATTCCATAGAAATATCTACAAAAGGAAACAGATTGTATTTAAAAGGGCATTGTTGAATGAACAATGAAAATACTAAAAGAATCAACTCATTATGCCCATGACAGCTCTAAAAAGCCATGTTTTATGAAACAGTGTCCTGCAGCGTCTTAAATTCTTTTTGATGACGTAATACAAAATGTTAATTAATTTTAAGTGTATGTTCTGTTTCATTCATAATAAAATGAATAAAACCTAAATTAATAAACAGTATTTATTATGTTTTTATCAGTCAAATAAAAACACTCAACAAAAATATAAAAATTACATCATTATAGTTTGTGTGTTTGGTTGATGCGTTATTTCTGGCGCATTAGAGACGATTCTAGTTGTTGTTTCGCGTGGGTAGTTTGATGTTTAATGGGCGTTCTGGGTGTTTTTGCATTATTTCAGCAATTTTATCTTTTATTTTGCATCTGTTTTTGGGAAGTGGGATATTTCAGGCCTAATTTCAAATGTTGTAATGACAACTGTCGGTATAGCGGCGTGCAGTACACAGTTAACCCTATTCCTGGCGGGGGGGGGCCTCAGGAGCCCCCCCCCCCTGAGGTTTTTTGGTTATTTCTCCCAAACGCGTTGAGCTAGGAAGCTCAAATTTTCTGACTTTTCCTATAAGGCTTCTACGCAACATGTCTGAAAATTTTGAGTTGATCTGACCTCAGGTCAGGTCACCAGAGGCGGTTTGGTGACCCTACCTCAGAAAAGTTTGCAATCACGCCAGAGCTAGAGTTTTTGACCGATCAATTTCTTCTCTTCAGGCTTTAGTTAGGGTACCAGTATGTGCAATTTGTTTATCTCGGAATTTTGATATCGGTGACCTAAGGTCAGGTCAGTTTCGCGACCTCCCCAGTATAAGTCAATGGGGGAAAAATCAACTCCCTGTTTTTACCACTAAAACGGGTCGGAATGGCCCCATATACCATACATGACTTCATATACGATCAACCTTCACTACCTTGAGGTCTGTTTTGCTGTTGGGCAGCTGTGAGGTCATGTGACGTCATCAAAGGTCACCAAAGGTTTTTGGCCAATAACTCCGTACAGGAACAAGATACAGACGCGTGGATGGTCTCATTGTGTTCAGCTCGTCAAGACGCATCGAATGATATACATGATGACCTCGAGGTCACGTGACCTGAGGTGAACCTTTGACCTTGACCTTTCGAGGTCAACATATATATTATTCGATGCGGATTGACGAGAGGATCACGATGATGCCCTTAGTTTGTTCCTATCTTGACTAATTCGAAAGTTATTCGAGAAAAACTCTCTCCATATCTAGCGCCGCCATTTTGACTTTTTCGACCCCTGTGACGTCATCTTTGACCTGACCTGAAAATGACCTTAGTAAAAATGGTAGACCTTGTCCATGCGTATCCGATGCCGTTTACCGCTTGTCGCTATCTTGCTTCGTTCTCGAGATCTCAGGGGGGGGCCGAATCGGCCCCCCCCCCCGCCAGTTTCTTGTCCCGGCGGAGCCCGCCAGGAATAGGGTTAAAGAGCAAGATAGCCCCCCAGCACGCAAAGCAAGTTATGAAGATATAGGGAGATATGATCGAATTTGCGCAGAAGGTGAGATCTGATTGAAATATTGATCAAGTAACGCCTAGAAAAGAATATTTTATTTACATACCTCTTTGCATGTCCAATTATTATATTAACTCTAAACCTTGATAGGTGGCAACTGGCAACATTTGTACAGCGGGTTCGGCATGGCACAATGATTGTAAACTGTTGACCAGACTGAGTAGCCAAATCAACCTGATTTCTTCCAAATACTTTCTGCCTGAGTAGGCTGATACCTTCTTATTCCTGAATGTGCTGGAATGCTGATAGGAAAATTCTAGGGCTCACTGGAGCTTTCTGTTGCGCTCGGGTGGTGCTGAAACTTGCCCTGAGAAAGCCTCACAGACAGCACCTTATTGATATTTGTTTTCTTTTTCTAAACCTGAGTACCTACAAAGAGTAAGAAATAAGAAAAGGAACATTCACAGGGGCCATGAGCAAGACACTGTAACTTTTTTTTGTGCGTGCAACCAACTGAATCAAAACATTTGAAGCTCACTTTGAGAAAAGATAGAAAATGGAAGTGGAAAGCTCTGTCCAGAATTTTAATTAACATATAAAACCATTTTCTTTACCAGAAATGATGTAAGGAACATTTGTGGCAATGTAGCTAATAAGAGTTTCTCGTAATATCTGGTATGTAGCAGATTCAGCATTTTCCCAGCCCTGCTGGTCGGAGGCTGAGGAGCTGGCCCGGAGAGGTTCCAGAAAGGTGAGTGATTTTCTTTCATTGTTATGTTACGGTGTTCCGAAATCAGTAGAAGGTTTTCTGTAAATTCTCCGAAGGTTGTCCAAGTGCATAGATATCAGGATAGGATTCGGGAAGTGGGATTGGCCAGCCGCGCCAGTTGACCTGGCGCGGCGCCAGCGGCCGGACGCGCCGGGCGGCTCTCCCGCCTACCTCCACAGCACCTACGTTCCGCGTGGGGCCGTAGTGTGACAGAGTGCCTTTCTCCGAACGATTGCTCTGAGTGATTGCATGATTGATTGCGTGAGTGCATGAGCGACTGCGTGCGTGGACCGTGAACGTGCATCGGCGTGGTGACCTAGGACGGGTCGCGTTTGGACGGTGTCTCGGTGACGGATCGTGGCGTAGCGGGTGGGATGCGCTGTCGGCCTGTCGGCTCGCCGATGCCTGCTGCCGACGAGACGTTTGCGGCCTAGACAAGCCCTTCCAGATCAGCTCACCTGTCGAGATGCATCCGGAGCTGCTCCGGTGCCTGGCCGTGCTGGCCGTCGCCCGTCTGCTGGTGCTAGCCGCTGCTCCGGCCCCGGCCCCGCCTTATGCTCGGTGTAGGCGACCCGGCGGCGCCCTGAGCGGCCCGGTCACCGATCAGCTGAGAAACCGCGTGATAACCACCCGACCTGCCCGGGTCCGGGCCGCCCCAGCTGAGTCTGCCCGCGCTCCCGCGCCACCG